ATGTATATATATATGCATGTGTGTGTATGTGTGTGTATAAAATATATATATAAACATGCATATATAAATATATGGTCTATGTGTACATTAATATATTTATCATTAAGTTTATTGGTGAAATTTAGACATACATAATGATCACATTATGCATATGGAATTTATACCTGTGTGTAATATATCTTATTTTTCCCATTCTCTTCCCCTTACTTGTTTGTCTCTTCCCCTTATTTACAAAAGCTTTTTTCCATTTTTTTTCTTTTCTCTTCTTTTCCCTTTCCCCCTCCTTTGTTTCCCTTACCATTTGAATATTTTCTTCCTGTTTCACAATATCTGTTATATGTTTTGTCCTTATTTACACTTTCAGCAGAAAATCAATGCAATATTTACAGATGTATGTCCACTTATTTCATGGAAGAGTGTGGTCTCAAGGTGCATCCATTTAGCCATAAATGTCTCAAGTTTAGCCTTTATGGCTAAGTAGTACTCTGCCGTGTGTGTGTGTGTGTGTGTGTGTGTGTGTGTGTGTGTGTGTATTTTTGGCTGTCCTTGAACTTGCTGTGTAGCTCAGGCTTTCCATTTCCTGTTCAGTCTCCTTTTTACTTCCTCTGTTAAATTGATTCTTAAGTATTTCTTTTTTATTCTTTGATGTTATTGTGAAAGTCATGGTTTCCCTAATTTCTCTTTAAATTTGTTATTTGTGTACAGAAATACTTTTGATTTTTGAGTGTTGACTTTGTATCTAGCTATGCAAGTAGATTTGGTTATTAAATCTGGAAGTCTCTTGGTGGATTTTGAGGTCTTCTATGTAGAGCATTATGTCATCTGCAAATAATGATACTTTAACTTCTTCCAATCACTATTCTTTTATTTCTTTCTCTTGTTTAATTGTTCTGGATAATATTTCCAGAACTGTAACAGGAGTGGTGATAGTGGACATCCTTGTCATGTTCCTGATTTTTAGGTGAAAGATTTCAGTTTTTTTTTTTTCAGCTTTAATTGAGTTTATTGGTACATTCTAGGTATACAGTACAGTTACATTCATTGTTGGGATCTTGTACCTCTATATGACAGGTCTTGGTTCTCATTTTTTCCCCTTGTCCCTGCCCTCCCTTCACCTCCTCCTCCCCTCCCCATCTACAACCACTTTGTTTCCATCTTTTCATTATCTCACATTTTTTTCTTTTCCCTTTTTACCCTTCCCCTGCCCATCACACCTTCCCTACACCTTTAGCTCCTTTCTTCCCATAAAGATTTCAGTTTTTGACCATTTATGATGTTGGCTGTTGGTTTTTCATAGATTACTATTATCAGATTGAGGTAAAGATCATCTATTCCATTTTTCTGTAGAGTTTTTATCACGAGCAAGTGTTGGACTTTGTCAAATTATTTTTCTGCATTCTATTTGTATTGAGATGATTATATTATTTTTGTCCTTGGCTCTGTTATTATGGTATACAGTGGGCACTTAGGAACTCAATTCATTCGCCAGGTCTGGTTGTAACTCAAGTTGGTTGTAAGTCAAAACTTATTTTTCTCATAAGAAATAATGGAAATGCCAATAATGCATTCCATACCTCCCACGGAACTCCTTAGCTAACCTTTTCATAATAAAATAGGGTTGTGTAATATGCCTAATTTTCCAGAAACACCAATAATTTTCCTAATGTATTCACCAAAAAATTATAAAACATGCCTAGTTCACCAGAAACAACAATTTCATACCACACTCACCTTTCAAGTTGACATCTTTGGTGTGCGGGAAGGGAGGATGAAATGGAAGGTGGTTATTGTTTGTAAGGAGACTGCCCTTCCATAAGAACACAAGGAATCTAGCTCTTTGGTGTCCTTCTCCTTCTTGGGAGAGTCCCACTAGGACTTGCTTCTGGCTCACTAAGTCTCAACATTTTCAGAACTAAAAACTGGTCTAAGGTTGTCTGTTTCTGTCTTTTCTTTAACATTGTTCTGTAGTATGATAAGACATTGTCATTAATCAAGTGAATGCAATGATTGGCATTTTCCTCAGCCTGGGTGGGCCTTCTCTACAAATACTTGCAGCTCTTTCCATTTTTTCAGGATTTCCTTTATTTCAAAAGAAGAATTTTGCTACACTGATTGTTGATTCTTCCCTGCCTTTTTAGAAAACGCCTCAGCTACCATTCTCTGTTGCTCAGCCAGAAGTTATTCAAGTTCTCTGTAGACAATTCCTCTGAGTGTTCCTCTATCAGTTTCTGAACATCACTACTGTCTAGCTGTGAGTCTATTGACTCTGTTATAGTGACGGTGTCATCAACCGCAGGGCTAATTGAAGGCGAAGGCTTCTCTACACAGCTTTCAATGTTTCTGTCCTGTATAATTTTAGGCCACACTTTTTTTCCAGGTAGATCTCAGTGTCCTTAGAGAGACATTGGCCCAGGATTTTTCAGTAAAGACTGGAGTTCAGGTTATAACTCAAGATTTTGATTGTAAGTTAAAACTAAAATTTTGGTTCATAACGCAAGTTGTTTGTATATGAGGCTGGTTGTAACTTGAAGGTCTACTATATTACATCTATTGATTTGTATGGGTTCCAACATCCCTGGATTCATCCCTGGGATGAATCATATTTGGTCATGGTGTTTAGTCTTCTTGATTATTTGATTCATTCTGTTGGCCAATGTCTTACTGAGGATTTTTGTGTCAGTGTTCATTAGGGAGATTGATCTGTAGTTCTCTTTTTTGTTTGGCTCCTTGTCTGGTTTTGGTATCAGGGAATATTGCTTCCAGGAATGACTTTGGGAGTATTGCTTCCCTTTCAGTTTCATTAAAGAGTTTGAGATGTAGTGGCATTAGCTCTCTAAATTTCTGGCAGAATTCAGCAGTGAATACATCAGGACCTGCATGGGCTTTTCTTTGTTGGTATATTTTTACTTACTTCTTCAGTTGCATGGATTGTTATTGGGTTATTTAGAATTTTTATATCATCTTGATTCAGCTTTGTATCTAGGAATTTGTCCATTTCTTCTGTGTTTTCCATCTTATCAGAATAAAGTTTCTCAGAATAGGTAATAATCATCTTCTGGATTTCTGTGGAATCTGTTGAGATTTCACCCTTTTCATTCCTAATTGCATGAATTTCAGTCTTTTCATTCCTTC